TCTGCCATCTATAATCCAGTTTTGAGATCCCTTCCCAGACGCCTTAACGCCCACTCACATCCTGGGCCATCTGACCTCAGGAATTCGCATGATCAAGGTGGAGGCCAGGTTTCACAATGAACCCACCGAAACTCTGGCTGATTGGGAGCCCACACCCAGTTTCACACCTTGGCTCAGGTGATTAGAGGATCATCAGGGGGTCCTTTTGTCCCTCTGTGGGGGGAAACTCCCACTAGGTTTATATCTGGGACTCTCCACCATTTGACCTTAGAACTGAAGAAGCTTCTCGGATGAGAGGTGAAACGTCTTCAAGCAACTTAAAGAAGTCCAGACGCTTTTCTTTGCAAGCTCCTTTGACTACGATGACCTGGATGACTGAGAACCTTCACAGACATATACAAGCATAATCAGCATAGTTTCAAAAAGTAGTCATTACTGACTACCTCCAGGGCAAATGTCACCTTCATCTCAAACAGCTACCTCTCTGCAAACATCAGTGTCTTCCTGCGGATGCAGGAGCTGCTCAGAAGGTACGGGGCTGTTATTGTAGCAAAAAGATTTGTGTGTATCTCGATACCTGTGTGCGTATTTCTGTGTGACAACATGAGCTCACAAAAAAGGGAAAACAGTCATTTTTTAAAAGACCTCCAGTGGCATTCAGTCAATCCACAGGCTTTCACCAATCACAGTTCAGTGTACTAAAATTTGTCCTGGATATGTTCCAACATCTCAGATATGCTGACTTATGAATGAGGGTTGAGTGTATTTTCATACCTTTATAAAAATGACAAGCAACAAGGAAATTGGGACTGACGTGCAAGGCAGTCAGACTGGCTAAGCTGCAGCTCACCTGTGAGACACTAATGAGTGGAAAACCCAGTAATCTGGAAAGATGATGCCAGCTTCCTCCTGATCAATATTAGGGAGAATAAATGTTCCACATGCAGTGTTGGTCAATCAGTAACTAATTACTGATGCAGGTGCAGGTGTGCCGCAGCGGTCAGTGGAAGAATCCGCAAGTTTCTCTGTGAATTTCCCATTCCGTGGCAGCGTACTCGGTGCTTGTGTTTAGGGGGTTTTTTCGCTGTAAAAAGAAGTTTTGTTCCCACGCAGTGAGTGAACAGCGGACGCTAATGTTTTTGTCACTGGAACCTATGGTTTAAGAAAGATGCATTTCCCTTAAATTATATTAAATTATTTTAATATTAGATTTGTAAAGCCCAAAGTTGTATGGCTCAAAACTGTTACAAAACTATAGCAGCAGATAAACAGCACACATAAGCTGTAGAAACAAAGAAAAGGAACGCCAGGTGATCCGTTTGTAAGGAATTCAGTCCCACAGTGCATGAATCTACAAGAATATCAGCATTATCTCCACCTAGGTCACATTACAGTATTTATTCTACACAAGTATTGAAAGAATGAAAAACAGGCTTCAGGCTGCTGCGTCCACGTCCTCAGGAGCAAGCGTTCCAATATCTGTCAGGACTGGACACCAGAAAAAGAAGACTCAATATCCATGAAAGGCTGGATATTTAATTTGGGTTAAAATATCTTCAGGATGAAAAGGAAATGAAAATACAGACATGTTTATGTAACCCAGATGGAGACAGCGGAAACACACATCTTGCTTTACTCAAACACAACTACAGAAAGTTTCCTGGCAAAACTCAATGACTGGTTGTTGCTCTCTGGAATTGTTGCATGCACAGCGGTTTGTCTCTTTGTCAGCATTAAACCATACCTCAGCCTTCAAACATGGGAAAGTGGTAGAGTAAAGATCCAAAGACATTTTCAGTCACATTGCTGCACAGATCCTGATGAATTCAGTTCAGTTTTATGTATAACAGTCACCTCAAGCCACTTTATATTCTAAGGCAACGATCCTACAATAGTAGAGACATAACAGAAGGCACACTGTGAAGGAGAGCAAGAGATTAATAACTAATAATTAAAGGCAAAGTGGTATACCGATGTGATGAAGAAGATACACTCAGTGGATCATGGGAAGCCTCCAGCAGCCTAGGCCTATTGCAGCATAACTAAGGGTGGGTTCAGGGTCACCTGATCAGCCCTAACTATATGCTTTAGCAAAAAGGAAAGTTTTAAGCTGAAGGGTTCAAATCCCGCCATCACCTTCCTGGTCAAAAACTGATCTGATCTACGGGGATGTTGTTTCCATACGGATGTTCCAGACGCTTTTATAATGTGAGAAAAACAGATAGTGAATAGTGAATCTAACACGTCAGCCTTTTACAAACATCTGTTCCCCGTTCTCAGCATCAACATAGTAAACCAGGCCTGGGACTGGTTAAGCAATAATTCAATTAGCTCAGGATAAAAATGGATTCAGAAGGCTGCGCTTGTGAGTTTGAGGTACAGCGTGTTCTTTTGTTTTTAGTTTTTTATTATAATTGATTAATAATTTAAAAGAATCCTCAAATTTGCTCTTGCTATCAAGTCTAACAAGGACATCTAAGAAATTTTGGAGAAGTACCTTTAACAGTGTAACATCTGCAACATTGTTTCAACTTTTATTTTAGAACAATTTTTCACTGTGACTATATATCAACAAAACGCAGACACCTGATGGTTATTCACCATCAAAACATTTGCTGGGCAGTTTCTCATAATGTCATCATCTGTTTTATAAGGAGTTGATTTAATGTACATTGATTTCGACATTTCCAGGCTCAAGTGTTTCTGCTGTCACTATCTTAGCTGCAAAACACAAAAAATGGATGGGTCTGACTGTGCATACTGGGCCTACAGAGAGGAGGTTCAGGATCTGAAGAGATTGTGTGACAACAACAACCTACATCTGAACACAACCAAGACCAAGGAGATGGTAATCGACTTCAGGAGAACAAAGTGATCTGAGTACTCCACCCTCTACATTGATGGAGAGGAGGTAGAAAGAGTAGAAAGCTTTAAGTTCCTCAGGGTCCACATCTTGGCCAACCTTACCTGGTCCACAAACATTTCCCACCAGTTAGAAAAAGAACAACCAAGGATGTACTTTCTTAGGAAGCCCAAATACCCTAAAGACTGCTAATTAACTTCTACCGCTCCGCTTATCTTATATTGACTAACGAGTTGACAGAAAACACATTGGGTAATGAGAGTGCAGTTCCATACTCCAGATAGTACGACTAGCAGACTTCATTATTTTCATTGAATTTAACCCTAAATAAATGAAAGGAAAAAAACCAAACAAAAAAAAATCAGCAGGTAGACATTTACAGATGTCAAGACAGTAAGCTGTTTTCCTATTTTCTATAGGACAGTATGTCTGTGAAGGTTCTCAGTCATCCAGGTCATCGTAGTCCAAGGAGCTTGCAAAGAAAAGCGTCTGGACTTCTTTAAGTTGCTTGAAGACGTTTCACCTCTCATCTGAGAAGGTTCTTCAGTTCTAAGGTCAAATGGTGGTGAGTCCCAGATTTAAACCCAGTGGAAGTATCCCCCCACAGAGGGACAAAAGGACCCCCTGATGATCCTCTAATCACCTGAGCCAAGGTGTGAAAATGGGTGTGGGTCCCAATCAACCAGGGTTTCGGGTGAGCTCCACCTTGAAGCCTGGCCCCACCTTATCATGCGATTTCCTGAGGTCAGATGGCCCAGGATGTGAGTGGGCGTTTGAGTTCCCTCCCCAGACGCCTTAACGCCCACTCACATCGTGGGGGAGCACCTGCTTCAAGTTTGAGACAAGTTACTACCTTAAGTGGAGAGGTTTAAGCATCTCTTGTTCACGAGTGATGGGAGAGTGGAGTGCGAGACTGACAGACGGACTGAGGTGGAAGCTGTACTGATCTGTTGTGGTAAAAAGGGAGCTGGTCAGGTCCTGCCCTCACCTATGGTGAAAGATGTGGGTAGTGACTGAAAAAAATGATGCTGCGGATACAAGCAGTGGAAAGTAGTTTCCTTTGAAGAGTGGCTAGACTTTCTCTCAGAGGGAGTTTGAGTAGAGCTGCTGCTCCTCCACATCAACAGGAGCCAGTTGACATGGTTTCAGGCATCTGATGCCTCATGGTAGCCTCTTGGCAAACCACAACAAAATATGAATGGCACCACAGAGTCAAACATGGTGCCACATGTACTGAAGACCCAAAAAAAAAAACCAAAACAGATTTGTCCTTCCTTTGGAGAGCTGCAGATTTGGGGGTTCAGTCTATATAGCGGAATAATTTTTGTGTTGACTGACTGATCAACAATTTGGACTTCACCTTTTCATACCTCGTATTTGTTACTATTCCCTTTTTTTATTCACGTTTAGTAACATTTTAATTTTTTTGTCACATTTAATGCACTCTTGGAAAGCAAAAACACAAAGTCACCCAATTCTGCTATCTTTCCTCAACAACTGCAAGCTGAAAGGTAAGCATTCCTGAATCACAGCTTCCACAGCACAGGGGGCTCTTGGCACACAAGCATCTCGCTAATGAAAATATGTATTTACAAAGACAGCAGCAGCTGTGCATGCCAGCTCAAATAGACAGTGTAGCAGTGCCAAGCTAAATGCAAACTGCAGTGCAAAACGTGTTAGTTTGTGTTGCTCTCAGTTCAAGCCCTTTACAGTTAAGAGTCATAGTGATTTACAGCAGTGGTCAGGAATTTACAGAATACTGAGGTCAATGTTATCTTCCAACAGCTGTGGTTCCAAGATTTTTAATCTTATGACCCTTTAGTACTGTCTACCAAATGTCTACTGAAAACCATTTGTCATTCTGTGCATGTGACCTTTAATTAATGATTTTCAGATCATTTTAATAGATATTTTGTTATGCCCAGAAAAGTGATGACTTTAATTCAAAAGCCAAAGACAGTCTATGTTCTACACCTCACATTTTTTTAACAGTAACAAAAAAAAAATGGGTCAGTTGAATTTTTTGTGAAAAAAATGGTTGACACAATGACTTCAGCAAACTTTTCTCATTCAAACCTAACATTAGGTTCACAGATTACAAAAGCACTGGTTAAGAAAAACATACCCAAAAACAAACTGATGGAAATAATATAAAACCACCCCATAAATTTCAATTTTCAAAACACTACACAGGAGTATTTGGAGCCACACATTTCCAGACAGCAGTCTTTTAATATTTAAGGTAAGGAATCAATGAGACACAAGTCTCACACAGTTAAAGTAATTTACAAAGAATGTAAAACAAGGCAAGCAAAGCAAAAGAATAATATCCCCCCCCCCCCCAAAAAAAATCAATAAAGGTTTAGCAGAGGAGACTTTTATAACAGTGATGTATACGGTTGGAGCTAAATCATTACTACATTATGACATCTCTGCTGGGTGTGGTCAGAGATGCAACCAGACACATATTTGGCCACAGAAATAGCTAGCAGGCGTACATAACAAGAATTAAATGTTCTGTAGTTGATACACATGCAGAGAATTTTTCACCCCAGCACAGTCAGTGATTTGTGCACCAGAAGCTTTGCTAGAAAAATAATAATGAACAGCTACGATTACAAGTATTTCCAGAACTCAAGCAAACTGTTTCTTACACCATCATATTGTTCATAACCAAATTACACAACGTTCATTATAGCTATGGATGCATGGGCATCCAACCAATGAACAGCAATAAATCTAATCACATCAAATCTAGGCTTAAAGATAAGATAATGTCCAAAAACAAGTCAGAGTTCAAAAACATTTTTTAAAGAAAAAAAAAATTACCATCAGGTTTAGGAAACTGCAGGTATGTGCCAAGGTAACCAAACCCTGTGTATGGATATGTTACATCTGTTTTTCTCACTGAATAATGGATAGGAGTTTTCATGTATGACTTATTTGGGTTCTTTTCACGTATAATTGTTAACAGGGATGTATTTTATTCCAATGATAATGTAGCTAGTTACTTTAGGAAAGCTCAGCATACTATAGAATGGAAGCTCTCTCTATTAGGAATACATCTAACAGAACAACGGAGTCCAGTTAAACTGAACTTGTGTGGTTTAAAACTGCTTTGTACCTTCTCTATACTAACTGAAGACTCCAAAGCTGAAAAAGAAACACTGAAATTGCAAAAATCATCAATGTTCCTGGCAAACAAATTGGCAACCACTGATCATTTTCACACATCATTCGTTCATGGATTTGGTTTATTATGAAACAACACCTACTCACGCAGGTGGCTCAGGAGTATAGAGCATGTCATCACTAGACAGGCGGTTCAATCCCTGAAAAAGTGCTTGTATGCATGTGTGTGTGAATGGTGTTTAAAGTACTTTGAGTACGGCCAGTGGGGCTGATGGCGCGATATGGCAGCCTCGCTTCTGTCAGTCTGCCCCAGGGCAGCTGTGGCTACAACCGTAGCTTGCCTCCACCAGTGTGTGAATGTGAGAGTGAATGAATAGTGGCATTGTAAAGCGCTTTGGGTGCCTTGAAAAGCGCTATATAAATCCAATCCATTAGTAATCAAGTAAAAAAGCACTATATGAGAACCAGTCCATTTACCCATCTCCAGTCTTTATGCTACACAAACTACCATCTAGCTTCAGCTCCTTAGTTAATGAAGAGTCACAAGAGGTTTGCTGTTAGAATTATGAACAGCATTAATGGAGGAAAATTCACTGGTTACTTCAAAGGAGAGAATTTGTGTTAGAGCCAGTATCTAGATATAAATTTAAGCATTTACTCCCAGAGTTTACTGTTGTAAGTATACCTAAACTCTTTCACCACAGCAGGGCCATTGTGGCTACTACATTATTACTGCTGCTAAATGGAAACCTGACACCAAGATAGTGAACCTTGAACTATAGAGTAGCAGAAGACAACACTGTCAACTAAGTACAATAAAGAGTCAGTTGGAGTAGAGCCCCACCATCATCCCATCCTATAGTCAAGACTACTAAAAAGACATAAGCTCTGGATGATCCACCACACAGTCTGCTCCAGCCCCAGTTTTCAGCCCTGGACTCCTGGACATTTAAGATTCAGCTTTCTCTGGTTTGCATAGGCAGCAACCTGCCCAGTCAACCTTTCTGACCTGCTCCCTGTTCCCTCAATATCCCAACCCCTTTAAATTCTGCAATAAATATTAATCTTTCTATATAACTCTAGCTTCCTATCTGTTTGTGTTGTCAGCTAATCCTCTTAGCTATGGGTCATCGGATAGGAGAGTGGTTATTAAAATATGTAACCAATAAGCACTGCAAGGCAACCAAGTGTAGCACAATTGTAAAGCTCAGCATTTCAAAAAAAGGGGTAAATATAACCCCTGGAAGGTTCGTGGTATAAATGATCCTTATCATTTGTAATGATCATTGTTGTGTTTTTTCATTTAGGTGTAAGCCATGGATCAGAGACGGCAGTGATTTCTTTTAGTAGTTACACATTTATTTAAAAATACCAAGGGAGTCCAATTTAAACCCACGGTGGTTCTACTGTTCTAGGATCCAAGTGTACAAGTTAGCAAAGTGGTAGAAGGCTTCCAGTTCTTAGGCACAACAGTCACGCTTCACTGGCCACAGACTTTCAGGACCTCTGTGCTGCCTGGAGGGGAAAAACGTTATTTTAATTCGAATTAACTTAAAAACAGAGTCCAAAGTTCTCTCTCCACCCTATCCACTTTTTTCAGCTCACCTGTCTAGCTGACTCCAGTAGAGATGCTGACTCAGCCTGGCCCGTCTGTTGCACCATCCTGTAGAGAGCACCTTCTTTGTTTTGCAGCAGGATAAAGGGGTGGTCGAATTCCTGGATGGTCCCACTCTCCAGCACCTTAAAAATAGACAAATGTCCTCTTCACCAATAACGGTAAACTTACAGTCCTTTAAAAGCTAGCATGTGAAAAATATATAAAGACTGACACGCTACACAGCAATAATAATGAACTCAAATTAGTTTGAAAATGGTGCTACATCTCAAAAACTACTTTGGAAAATATATCTATAAATTGGGACGATCCTGATTGTAATCTTTACCAATATCAGTTATTTCATGGGCCCAGAACTTTAAATCCATTCACTGTGACTGATTCGTCTGTTATCCAGACATGTAACAGTCTTCTGCTGTCCTTTTAACTGACAACCTGCTAAGGATGAGCCAAACAGGAACCTGGCCAGTGCATGATCGCTTTCACGATCATTAGGCATGGGTACTGATTGACAAAATGCATTTCCCACCCCTATGAAAACTGATTAACACACTGTCAGACTGAAAATGGACAGCTAAAGTTAAAATTTAAAGATCCTCAAGGTGTTCCTGAGAGATAATATGATTATAAAACATGGTTGATTGAAATTAAATTAAACTGCACTGAGACAGAAGAGATGACTCACAAGTATGCGGTCACTGTCTATAATGGTGTTGAGGCGATGCGCGATAGTGATCACTGTGCATTCTTTGAACTTGTCTCGTATGGTTTTCTGGATCAGCTCGTCTGTCCTGTAATCACAGCAACAACCAAAACACAGTAGAAACATATGGGAGAGGTGTGCTGAGAAAACTAGTGGATGTGTAATGACATTTCTGTGTATGCTTTATATGTGCTGGCAATGTGTTTGGAGGACCTCGGGTCCACGTTAGCTGTGGCTTCATCGATGATGAGGATGCGGTTCTTCCTCAGGATGGCTCTGGCTAGACACACCAGCTGCCTCTGACCCACACTGAAGTTGGAGCCCGACTCAGCCAAGACAGCCTCCAACTTTCCAGGGAGCTCCTCCACCACAGACTTCAGCTGTACCTTTGTTTATACGGAGCAACCATCAAGAGCTGTCTTTGGTTTATTCTTTAAAACAATGTCCTTGATTAGAGTTTCTAAAAACAATCAAATGACATATACAGTGCATCCAAAAAGTATTGACAGTACTTCACTTGCTTCACAGCCTTATTCCAAAATAGATTCATTTCATTTCTCATAAAGTGAAATAAAAACACTGGTGGCCACAAGTGCTATACCCCAGAATCCTAGCAGATGCACCTATGGTAAAAATCCTAGGTGTCTTCCTAGGAAACATGACCTCTGACCTTGATCTTGAGGTTGAGGTCACAGAGATTCAAATTCGTGGTTCAAACTATAATATGAATTTGAAAATCCTACGTCGCCTAGTTCTTGAATTTTTGCATTCGCAAACTTGGGTAAGACCGGCAAGGTGATGACAGCACTCCCTCAGGCTTTTACGGTTGAGGCATAAAAAGTTAGCTTGAAATTCTCGCAAATTTAGAAAGTAGAAAAAAAAATACAACATGTATTTTTCAATGTACATAAGTATTCACAACCTTTGCTCAATACTTTGTTGAACCTTTGGCAGCAATTAGAGCCTCAAGTTTTTTGAAGTATGATGCTACGACCTTGGCGCACATATTTTTGTGCATTCTTCTATGCAGAAACTCTCAAGCTCCATCATGTTGAATGGGGAATGTTGGAACACAGCCATTTTCACATTTCTCCTGTAGCTCAGTGGGGTGGCTCTGGTATGGGCCAGATGATGAGCAGTGCCTGGTTTCCTCCAGACACAAATCTTGGCATTCAGGCCAGACAGTTTAATCTTTGTTTCATCAGACCAGAGAATTTTGTTTATCATGGTCTGGAGCTCAATTTTGAGTATCATGGCAAAGCCTGTGAATACTTATGTGCCTCCTGGGCACCTCCTGGGTGAGGTGTTCCGGGCATGTCCACCGGGAGGAGGCCCCAGGGCAGACCCAGGACACGCTGGAGAGATTATGGCTGTGTCCCAATTCAGGGTCTGCACGCTTGAAGTACGCGCACTACGCGTACTACGTTCGGTGCGTACTATAAGTACGAGAAGTGCGGAAGTGAGAGGCTTGTGAAATGGGAAGGTCTAGCCTTCGTCGTGCTGTTCAGGTTGCCTAGCAACCATGATACTAACCGCGAGTAACGTTACATACAGCTTTGTTTGACAGAAATAAAGGAGAAAAATGTTTTGTTAGTCATGCATTTTCGTCATGACATCACTTTGATTAGTTGAGTATCTGAGGCTGAGACCACGGGACTGTAAAACATGATTGTTGGGCTTCATTTCTGTACTGAGCAGTCATTTCAAGATTAGTCAGTAAATAACAATTAGTTGTTCATGAGACTAAAATCATCCCACTGTGGTAATGTAAATATAATATGGACGCTGAAAGTACAAACATCACTAATGTCACACAACTTTGCCGACATGTGGCCAACAGCAATGTTTTAATGTTCTTCATTATTAAACATTCGCACATAAGTAAGTGACATCATATTCAGTACTTTGACAGTTCACTCTTCGGCCGCTCCCTTCTGCCGTATTTTGCGGCAAAATTATCCACACCCACCGCCGCGCTATGAATTGTGGGATATATGGGACCACGAAGCGTGCACCGGACCACGCTTGATATTTGGGGAAATCGTTTGAAGTACACTTCGGATTGGGACAGCCGTCGTCGCGTGGCGGTGACGTAATCGCACTTAAAATGTGTACTTCAAGCGTGCAGACCCTGAATTGGGACACAGCCCATATCTCTTGGCAGGCCTGGAAATGCCTTGGTCTTCCCCCAGGTAGCCTGGAAGAGAAGGCTGGGGAGAGGGAGGTCTGGGCTTCTCTGCTTTGGCTGCTGCCCTGTGACCTGGCCTCAGAGAAACGGAAGAGGGAGGGAGGGAGGCAGGATGGATGTATGGATGGATATTTTTAATAAATTTGCATGAATTTCAAACTTTTTTTTCACTTTCTTAATATGGGTGCAAGGGGTGAAATGAATTTAATGCAATTTAGAATTAATCTGAAACATGACAAAACCTGGAAGAAGTGAAGTGCTGTGAATAATTTGGTGCACTGCAATATTTACAATGCAATATGTATTATTAACATAAAATCACTCAAAAGAAATCCAGCTTAAGTGCATATACTGTACCTACACAGTATACTTTCTGTCTAGCCAAAGAATTTTTAACACAAAAATGCCAGTTTGCTCTTTAAAGACAGTTAATTCATCCATATATTTTTCAAAGCATAGTTGAATCCCAGATATTTATTAGTACAAGGGTATATGTATATGATATATGTTATATGTATATAGATTTACAATAATTTAAGTAAATTTCTGCAATAAAGAGACCGGAGGGGAGGGCATGCTGTGAAACAACTGGAAGCTGTAACTAAAGTCCTGGATGTGATTACTAGCCTCTTCCAGAGCTTTCCACAGGTCTTCATCTCTATGCTGGTTAAAAGGGTCCAGGTTTGTCCTCACAGTGCCAGTAAACAGAACTGGGTCCTGGAAAACAAAGAAAAGAGAAGTGAGGCATCACAGCAAATTCAAAAGTGTTCAATTTTTTGGTGTTAATAGTCTCCTTGCAAAAGTAGAG